AAAGGACAAGATTCAGTGTTTATTAAAAGCTATTGACTGGGCAAAAAAAAAAGGAGTGAGATGGGCACAAAAAGTCATGATCCATGTACTCACCAGGCTACAAGGGCTGCTAGTGGAGACCATTGCTGGCTATTCCAAAGAGGGAACCAACAAGAAGCTGGGGCCGTGGCCCAACCATTCTTATCACCCGCAGTGCTTCCCAAGCTCAGAGTAGAGCACAAGAGCTAACTTCAGACTTGGAAGCTTGGATGTGCACAGTCCATCCTGAGGGTCTCTTGAAGGCCTTCATGAGGGACAGGGCTTCTCAGAGCTCTTTCCAAGTCCCTTTCAATGTGCGCTGTGCCAAGGGGTGCATGTGCGCATGCGGGGATATATTCCAGCTGCCTCCACATCTCATGGATCAGTGTCCCACAGCTTCAAAATGGCTGTGGGGGTGCTTTAACTAAAGGTCATCAAACGAGCTTTAGTTAAAGCACCCCCACTGCCATTTTGAAGTATGGGGATACTGATACACGAGACGCTGTGGGCTCTTTAATTACAGCAGCTCTCAGATCTGCTCTAATTAAAGCACCCCTCCACACACACCCCTGAAGCACGTGTAAAAACACCCTATGAGTTTGAGGACCCAATCCTGCTTTCATCAAAATTAATGGCAACATTCCCATTTGCTTAAACGGAAGCTGGTGACTTACGGCCTTATTACACATTGCACTCTGAGCTGCTCAAATGTTGATGAGTGTTAGTACTAGCTAGCTCAAGTTTGGAGTAGTCACAGCTTGAAGCTGTGACTACTCCTTCTCTAACTGCCCCCACCCTGCAGAGCTATGACTTACCACCAAAGGGCTGGCAAGCAGCGGCCTGACCAGAGACTACAGATGTGAGTTGCCACTACAGGACTGGTAGACCAGAACAGGCCCCTGTCCTGGTTCTAGGTGGGGATGTGTGAAAGATCTAGGGGGTAGGCAGGAACATGAAGCTCGGAGGCAGAGATGGGGGTGGGTAATGAAATGGGAGGTGGAAAGGAAATGAGAATGGTGACAGTGTGGTGAAATGAAGTCAGCCACTGAAGGAGAAAATATTTAGATAGGGTTTTTCAACCTTTTTTGACCTTCCAAAATACCCCCAGGGGTACAAATACCCCCAATTGAAAACCCCTGTATTAAGAAACTAAAAAAAAAATGAAAAAGAAATAAAGAGGAAGTAAATTAAAGAGTTTAATGAATAGGGATTTTGGATTAGGGTGTGGGGGGGAGGGGGTGCTGGTCATCCTGGGGTGGCGAGGTGGGAATGGTGAGGAAAGGTGGTTTTGCGGGGGAGCTACCACCCCTGCCCCAGGACAGAAGCCCCAGCTCATGGGGACCAGATCTGGCCCTCTACCTTGTTCCCCTTCCCCCCCACCCCCGAACCCACTCATGGGCCTGCCCATGCCCTGTGACCTGGCTAGCTGGGATGTGCTCTGCAGGTTGTTTGCATGGGGTTGCACCCCCGGGGATGGGATGATAACACTCCTGGGGCTGGGAAGGGGGTTGGCTTGGTGGGCAGTAGAGTTCAGGAGGTGGGAAGTCAGTTCACATGGAACAGGAGGGTGGGGGAGGGGACACTGCACCCGGGGATGCTGGAGGACTGCAACTTGGGTGACTCATCTGTGGGGAGTGGCCACACATTAATGGAACTCAAGCTAGGTAACACAGATCAGAGATAAACCTGCCCTGGAGTGGTTAACTTTAAGCTGCCTAAAGTGTGCTTTAAACTAGTTTTAGGTGTTAATATGTGGACAATCCAGGGATTAAGAGCTCCAGATGGTGCCTAAAATTAATGTGTAACAAGGGCCTTAGGTGCCTAAGTGTGACTCTATTCCATTGTGTTCAAGTACATAGAATTTCATTAATGTATCTATTTTCATAATATGTTGCCATCTTATCCTTAAGACTAAGTCATAATAAAGCTGCAAGGAGAAGACAGATTCACCCATCTTTAATATTAACAGTTTTTCAAGGACTTAAACAGGATGGAATTGGATTGCATTTAGCCATCTAATAGGTGGAACAGGATCTGGCCCTATAATTTTCTGCAGCAGTAACTAAGCAAAGCAACAATACTCTATAAGCCATTCTCTGCCTTCAAGAGAAAGCAGTGAATCAGATAGTCAAACTTCCCAATTCTTTTAAAACAAGTTGCCTAGTTACAACTCCCTCTATCACGTCCATATTATATTGCAAAGTCTTGTGAGAGAAAAATGTAAATGCCATAGAAAAGTTGAGATAAATCACTGCTTCCTCTTCCCTGGGAAAGAGGGGACACCTACATCAAAAGGCCCGGTCTGCCAGTCCTAATGCATGCAAAATGATCACACAGTTCAACTGGGTAGCCCTACAGCTCTGCATATCCACCTGAGTTTGTAAATCAAGAAGACATTAAACAGACTGAAAGGATTTAAAGTTTCTTACCTCCCAACCATAACTGGGATCCTTAAGGGCTGGCCTCTGCTCTCCAACATATGGCCCAAATTTTTCACCTACTTCAATCTTCCTTTTGGTCCATATCCCTAATCCTGCTCCAGGAATGTTTGATTCTCGCAGTTCAAACTCTGATGGAATGGGAATGTCATCGGGAATGTATATAGGAGCCTTGTAAGGAGAGCTCTCCTTCGGTGTGAATTCTTCATTAGATGTTGCTGGAGAAGATGGCTCTTGGACACTGAGGGACAACTTAGTTGCTTCTCCATCAGGCTCTGGCATTTCTTCCAAAGGAAGTTCATGGAAGCTTTCGTATAAACATTCATCACCTGAAAATGAATTCATACTTTAGGAATTGCCTGCATTAAAGGTGCAGAAGGGTTTTGCATGTGAACCCTTCTGCACTTTGAGCAGAAAGATACTGAGCAGTCTCACAATCGAGGAGCAAGAGGCACAGTGCTTTTGCAGACCCGACTAGAGTGCTCTTAATGTCTGTAAACATTAGCAAGTAAAATACATACAAAGGGTATACACGCACACCTGTCACCCAGTCTTCATACAGCACTTCAAATCATTTTGAATCGAACGGAAAACTGGTTACAAATGGAATCCCAGGGAAATGGAACATTGGAAGGTTTTACTGGCCCTTTGTTAATGGGTAAATGGCTTAGACAACCTGAAAAATGTAAAATTAAGGTTGTTGGCCTCAGATTAGCCTTTGGGAGGAGAGAATTAATCTGTCATGCAACTGCTGGCAAGATCCTCAGTTGGTGAAAAGCAATGTTGCACCATTGTCTTTAATGAAACTACAATGATTTAAACTAGCTGAGAATCTGGCTCAAAATGTCACCTCAGTGCAGGACATAGACCAACACAACTTACATTATGTGATTTAGGCTTTTTTGTTTTGGCAAGACAACTAAGCAATTCTTATTTCACACAAAATGAAATAAGTCAGTGCCTCAGTTTGAGCAACAAACCAAAGAGACTGTGGTTTGCATAGCTCAAATTATAAGTGTAATTGTAAATTTCTATTATTCCCAAATGTCAAAGTGACTTCAGCCAGAGTTTCAGTTGCACAAAAAATGTTACCTCAATGTCCTGGTAATACTGTCATATTGCAAACCAAAGAAAAGAAAAACTAATTAATAAAAAAATCCTCCTTAATATTTAGCTTTACTAGCGTTACTATGTTTTTCCCAGGCACCAAATTCATCCATCTAATTATAAACTAAAAAAAGAGATATTTTTCTGGGAAAGCAGTATGTTGAGAGATTCAGAGTATAAGGTGAACGTGAACATATTAGCATAATATGGTTTGTATTAATATTAAAGTACAATGCTGGACCATCAGGATGATATTATTTAATTGAAAAAACAGGGGACTTACAAGTATTCTTTAAATTTCTTACTGTCTGTGGTTGATCAGCATTTTCACATGTTGCATGTTTTTTCACTGAAACAGGTCGTGTCTCATATTATGTAACAATGCTTAATCTATGATTTTGCTATCTTCCAGGAGAAAACAAATCATTTGAATGCATCACCCCCATCGAACGACTAACTAGATTCTTAATCTTGGAGCAATTTATTTACAGCCCTGAATTTTTTTTCCCTGTCATATTTAGTGATTTCTTATATGTCCAAAAATAGTTTCTCTCTCCATTCCCCTACCTATTGGTTAGACAAACTTTCTCTAAGCTTTAAAGAGGTGCACCTCAATACCAACTAGTTCATCGTTTATCTAATACCTCAGGCTGTTTGGAAGTCAGTAGAGATGGCCTGATCTAGCAAGTTGTGAAGGACTGATGAGAGGGGAACCAGAAGGCAAAGCCCTTAGCACTGAGCACTTGCTGTTCCTTTAACATCTGCACAGGAACCTCTGCCCAGAGCTTATTATCACTCACACTGAAATATAAGGCAAAACTCTTATGAACTTCATTAGAAATAAGATCAGACCTGTAACCATGCTGAACTGAGCAGTGTGGAGCAGGGGAGTAGGAGAAGAAAATATGAGGGGCTCAAGTCAGGTCTTGGTCAGGATTCAATGTTTAACTCAACTCTATACATTGAAATGACCTGCCTAGCAGACATCTCCATTGTTCCAGCTGCTACTTTCAAGTTCTGCTTTCCCAAGTGTCCAGAAGAGCTGGCCTTAGGAGGAAGAGAGGGTAGAGGCAATTGGGAGCCACAGTCACAGAAACAACACCTTCCAAACTTTTGTGACATTGACACCGATTCATGGCATCTGCTAGGCTATGCCCAGCAGCTTCCCCATCAGGTTATTTAGATAGTAAATAGGGTCCAATAACAGAGGAGCCCAAAACATTTCAGGTCCTCTCTGAACGTAGAGAAAGAAACAATACCTGTCCCAATCTGCGTAAGGGCAGATGTGCATGGAGAAGAGGCAATCGCATGCAAAGGTGACAATGAGCATTTGCCCAATTAGCA